GGTTCGCAGCCCGATTCCTAACCACTACGCTACCAGAGCTCCTTGCAGCGCCACATTGGATAGTTATTATTACTAGGTGAAATCCAGGAGAGTTATGGTGATTCCATGTGGCAGAGTGGTGGTGGTAGTGTGCTGTGGAGTCGCTTCTGACTCATAGCGACCCTGTACAGGGTTTCCGAGGCTGTAAATCTTTACGGGAGCAGAAAACCTCATCTTTCTCCCAATGAACAGCTGGTAGTTTCGAACTGCTGACCTTGAGGTTAGCAGCCTGATTTGTAACTACTTCCCAGAGCTCCTTATGCCGCAGAGTATAATTACCAATTAGGGTTTTTCATGGGAAGCAGAAGTCGCTGGGTGGGTTCAAACCACTGACTTAATCATCTGCAACACTAGGGCGTCTAGTCACTTCCGACTCATGGTGACCCTGTAAATCTTTACAGAGCAGCTGGTGGGTTTGACCTACTGACCTTGTGGTTAGTTGTCCAATGGTTATCCACCAGGGCTTCTTCATTGGATAATAGTGTTCTTATTTGCTCTTCTTTTGAATGCCAGTAGCTCTGGTAGCGTAGTGGTTACGTATCAGGCTGCGAACCTTAAGGTCAGTGGTTCGAAACTACCAGCTGCTCCACGGGAGAAAGATGAGGCTTTCTACTCCCGTAAAGATTTACACCCTCGAAAACCCTGTACAGGGTCGCTATGGGTCAGAACTGACTTGACGGCACTTAACAACAACAACGTATTTATGTTAGAGGAGTTAGGAAGGACAGGAGCCATTAGTTACGTAAGTTGTTCTCAGCACTGGCCTGCCGTATTTTTTGAGGTCCCACCTCCCCAGAGGTGTTTTTCAGCAGCAGCAATTCAGGAGCACCTCCAACCAGGGTATGAGTCTTTAAGTAGTGACACCTTTGATCATTTGTTTGGAACCAGGACTGTAATGAGAATCTATAGCAGCTCCCTGCCCCTTTCTCAGGTAATGTGCAGAAGCATTACATACCCACAGACACCTGGATTCCCTAGCCAACTTTAGAAAACAGATGAAAGGCCGGCTGTCCTTCAGAGACTGTGTGCACTTTATCTTTTTATGAGTGTTTAGCACAAACATAATGATATTTTCACACCAGTCCCTCTAATTCTAGACATAAAGTACCTTTATTTTAATGCGCTTTACAGTTGAGCGCTCACAGAGCAAATTAGTTTTCCATTCTATAGTGTGTACAAAAAGTGTTTCATGACATTGACTGTGTTGTCCACAATGTGTCAGCCCTCTTTCCATTTCTACCTTGGATTCTTTATTTCCTTTCCTCCAGATTTTCTATCCCTTCCTCCCTTATTATCTTTGCTTTTAGACAAATGTCTTTTTTATCTTGAGTAAATGATTGTTCTAAGGAATAAATAAATCTCAGGTACTGTGATTTATTTTATGGGCCTGACTATTGTTGCCATTTTTCTACAAACTTGCTTTAATTATGTCTTTAAAATTGTTGACCTGCAGTGAATTAAAAATTAAAAAACAAAACTGGTCCTCCACTTCAGACAGCCACATTCTATAAGAAAGAGGGTCTTATCAGTCTATGTTACTACTCAGCATTTGGTTAATGATTTCGTGGTTGCTGAAGAAATAAAACCTAATGACAGTTAAAGCATTAGGAATTCAGTTTGCTTCATGGGACCCTATGGATTAGACACAGAACTTGATTGTACTTATCTTCTCAAGTGAAAATCACAGCTCTACTAATATGGTAAGGAGCTCTAGTAGCGTAGTGGTTATGAATCGAGCTGCAAACCGCAAGGTCAGCAGTTCGAAACTACTAGCTGCTCCACAGGAGAAAGATGAGGCGTTCTGTTCCTGTAAAGATTAACAGCCTCGGGAACCCTGTGCAGGGTTGCTATGAGTCGGAACCGACTCCATGGCACATAACAACAACAACAACAACTAATATGGTAGCATAGTGGTTATGAATCGGGCTGTGAACCGCAAGGTCAGCAGTTCGAAACTACCAGCTGTTCTGCAGGAGAAAGATGAGGCTTTCTGCTCCCGTAAAGATTTACAGCCTCAGAAACCCTGTACAGGGTTGCTGTGAGTCGGAACTGACTTCATGGCACATAACAACAACTAATATGAAGGAAAGAATATATACTAGAAACCTAAAACCTCTTACTATCACATTTGCTTGATATTGCCAAATAAATGGCTTTAAAAAGAAAAAGAAAAAAAAAATCACCCTCAGGAGCAAGAACAAAAAAAAAAAGGTTTGAGCTGAAGTTAAAGTCCCAAATACAAACAACTTTTTAAAACAGGGAGCTGTGTTAGGTTTCTCCTAAGACTATACTTTTATTTCTGATGGCATTCATTGTTTCTGCTTAATAGCACAGGTGAACTTTTGGTTTTTAAAAAATAATTTGTGTTTTAAAATATTTCTTTGAATTCTTCAATATTGGTTTTAAATACTAGAGTGGTATTCAGTGTTAGTAAATATTTGATATTTTAATGTTTAAAAATGAAGAGTTTATTATATTCCCCAAGTGGAACATGATGTAATTGTGAGAAGCTATAAAACATGGTAACATCTTGGTTGGAAGAACAGGACAGACAGGCCACTCCAAAATGAACAGTACAGTCAGTATTCAGTACTGTGTGCCCTTTGTACATTTACAAAAACTGGCCTAACTGCTTGTCTTTTGTTTTCATCAGCAAAACAAATTTTCTTCTTAACTTTGATTATCTTCTTCTTCTAATTTTGATTTGATCTTCCTTTGGTAGAAAAGCACATTTCATGACTGTGTCACGTTTGGGGCTGGTGAGCTATCCGACTGAGTTGGTGGAGTGGGGGGAAGTGGCTCTGAAGAGGTGTGAGCTCCATCTTTGTATGTTAGTAGCAGGAACCATCCATTGCAGAAGCCAGCACAGAACTCACCCTTTTTCTTTCTGTCATCATCAAGTCTGAAGCTTTGTAGGATTGAAACAATGAAGTCACATTGATTGCTTTTTAGGAGCTGGAGAAAGGAGTATTACAATAGTCATGAAAACAGTCTTGCGAATAAATGACAGGAGTATTATTTGGTGGAAGGGCAATGGATTTCTTTAAATCTGTTTGTTTCTGATGACCTCACTGGGGAATAATAGATTTCTTTCTTCACATCATTCTGCATCACTCTGTACTTCCCACATTGTCACTGTTTCCTCAGAGTTCCTTTATCTTGTTTACTCTGGCTGTTTCTTGTATTTAGAGGTTTTCCTTAAATGGCGATCTTGGTTATTTTTTCATACTTTCAGTACTTGGCATACCTGGTATCTGCAAGCACAGAACTCATCTAGTTCAATGCCTCCAGAGAGTGAAGCTCTTAGGGACTTAAAGAAGAGAACTGGGGATCCTTATAAAGACTTTGAACCAGTACTGTGTTAGTTGGATCTGGCATCCCAGCCTTCAGAGATACTTGGTTGTTGTCATTAAGTGCCATTGAGTTGGTTCGAACTCAGAGCGACCCTGCATAGATTTTCCGAGGAGTGGCAGGTGGGTTTGAACCACCATAGTTTTCTGTGCTTATCCTATAGTGCTACACTCGGAGGTGCTTAGTGTCTCTAAAGTCTGCTTTCTGCTTATGGGCATTACTCTGAAATTTTTTGATAATTTCTTTCATGCACCTAATATTTATGGTGTACCTCGTGACACAATGGTTAAGTGCTGGGCTGCTAACTGAAAAGTCAGTGACTCAAACTCACCAGCTGTGCCATTGGAGAAACGACTTAGTGATCTGCTCCTAAGATTCAGTGTGGTAAAGCCTATAGGGCCATTCTACTCTGTCCTGGTGTGGCACGATGGGTTAACATGCTGGACTGCAAAGTCGGTTTGAACCACAAGGTCTGTGGTTCAAGCTTATCAGCCACTCCTCAGAAACCCTTTACTGGGAACCGACTAGATGG